TAGTGATGACAAAGCAACATAAACATGCTTACCGCCATAACGAGTTCAAACGGGTACTTGTACACTCTTACTGGAGACTGATACGTCTGAACCATGACGACAGTCGACGATCGAACTGTACGATCAAAACAACAAAACTCACAACATTAATTTACCGACCGTAAGACTGGCTCGTTAACGACGTGATCCTCATGTACATTTTTGTAAGTTGTCTCGACAATTTAGAATGTCAAAATACTGAGCATAGATCATTATATAGCAGAACTCCACTAAGAACAGATTTCACGCCGCATAACACACCCTCTTACTTCCACTTGCCTATGTGCTATTAAATTATGTCATTTCTATATGATCTGTAACATATGCACTGGCAGATGCCTCTCACCTCATTTGTTCTATGGATCTATCTTACGCTCTACATTACGGTAGATATTTCAGAAGTTGGTACACCTTAAATTTCAACAAGTAAAGTATCTTGAAATAATTCAGTGTATGGGTATGCTGCTATATCTGTTTTCAATTGGAACCTTGAAATTTTGAAATGACGTTGTTAGGCGATTAGGTGAAAGCGAGCGCGGCAATACATCCAAAAATCTGAAAATTTCGAAAAGTTATGCGCTATCTGACACACTCAGGCATACGAACAATATATGATGTTTATTCTGTGACGTAAATCATCATACCACTGAAATGAAGCTTTAAATAAACGTTAAGTCTTTGCTTTGCACTGCAAACAAGCTATAACCTACAGACGAACAGAATAAGGATACACTTCTTCTCTACGTTTTAAGACGCCAAGTCAAATTCGCTTCGAAACCTATGTATCAACCGAGAGACAACTTTCTGCGCTGTATTTTAATAGATCGACTTAGTTCTGCTTTATAGTATCAATATCAACGCATAAACCAGTTGCTTTATCATACTGTGTTCAATTTAAAAATTCTCTGTTTAATACATGAGCCTTATCCGGCTGTTCAGCCAAATTTTTTGCATCGTTGTCAATCAAAGGGTGCGTCAAGGTGATAATAGATCACAAACGGTATTTTTTGCAGTCTAGAAGTCTCTTTTCAACATTGTAAGCTTTTGCAACGGCATTAACATTTTTGAAGAGCACACCTTATGCTGTTGCTATCTGTGGACGACTACATGGTTTTCCCATAAGGCACGACGGAGAACTAAAATAGAACATGCAACATTTGTAGGATGAATCTTCTATTATCGGTTTTGAAGTCAGCCTTTCTAAAACATATGTGCTGTGATTTGATTCAAAACAAATACCGCTACTATCGCCATATCTACGCAAATTTTTAAGTGCTAAAAAGTAGTCAGGTGCGCATACCTATCCCGTAAAGTGGAACGCATGATCTTGCAAGATGAGGTAATCAGCAAAGAAGGAAAGTTGCATTCGATGGAACCAAATGTATTAAAATACTAGTACTCCACAATGACGTGCCCATGTTAACAAAGAATAAACCTTTCTACTCAGTCATCCTACCCGCCATGATCTACGGCGTGGAATGTTGGTGTGCTACTGAAACCGATGAGAACGGACGATAGAACGAAAACGGCGTTGAGTGTCCTTCCAGAATCGTTTTCTGAACGCAAAAATCTAGTAATATACCAGATTGACAGACGCAACTTTTGTCTTCCACGACTAAAATGTAAGCAACGTCGATCATGTGACTGAACTAAGAAAAAAAAAACTGGTCGACGTCAAGAATCAGACATTAGCTTCTATTGAACCACCAAGGTTGAATCTGTCGTCTAGCAACACGGTGGGACGATTTGATGTTGAAATTAGGTTATCAGCACTGCATATAAAATTGGAAGAGTGAATGTTGAAGGAGTATTGATTCACATTTATGGTGCATCCATAGCGAGAAGACAAGTCAGATAATGGATATGATCATTAATACATGCAATTTTCAGTGAGTAGTAATAAGTCAATAGGCTTCATTTCATACTGTTTTTCAGAAAATTCGCTTGCTCGATATTTTCATAAAGTTGGTTTTCGCAAAGACTAATATGCCCGTTGTTCTAACATCATGTGAAGAGGAGACTCAATACTACACATGTCCAATACGGCATCAGTGACCTAGAACAAGCCTGCTATTCAATTTCCCAAGGTTAATATATAAGTAAAACAACAACCATTTAATATGAAGAATCGATATGAATTTTAATTATGAATATATTAATATGAATGTATAATACATGCTCGTACAGCCCATGCTATATTTACCGAAGTGTGACCGAAGTCAAACGTTTGTCAATTGAGAAATTGATCATAGATTAAGATGGGATTATGGAGTATAATAGCAGTAATAGAAAAGTGATACAACAAAACTTTTCAACAACCATCTACGTCACTACCTGTCATTGAACGTAAGTGATAGGCTATTGCTGCAGTCATGTACCAGTAACTGGAACATGCCAGTATTTTCAGCGGGATAAATCCAAGTGAATAGAGTCCAGATAAAGTGGATATTAATTTCGATAGTGAATACTGTAGGGAAGCTTCATTGCATCTCATACCGCCTGAGTCGAGAAGAACATTCCTGTTATTTTCGCATAACAACAGGTGAAATTGCCTAATGACTGAAAATTTAAGTGCTTCATCGCGAACGCAATTTTGAGCTCTTCCATCTGTTATCCGTTTTCTTCGTAAACTAGCTCGTACCGACACCCTGTACTCGATGACTAGGTAGAGGTATTTCTTTGTTGTAATGCTTCATTGGCTTGATTACCCTTGATCTAAACTATGGTAATAACATTACTGATTTGTGCTGAAGAAGGAAACTGAAGTGCGTGTGCGTCCCGAAAGCTCCACTTAATAAATACAAATTTTTCAAGATCTGACAGATATTTCGGCCGTTTATTTTATTTTCGACGCCATTTCGCTCGGTTCATTAATTTGAGATTTGTGCAACTCCTGTCTGAGATCTCACAACGACTTCAAAAAAGAATGATCCTGATGTCACTGACCACTAGAATTCATCAGTTATGATAATCGATGGAATTAGTGGTACCAACCACAATAAACGAATACGTAACAAACGGAAGACAATCACAGAAATTGCGAGAACCCGTAACGATGAAACGAGTTTCTATCAAGCTAGAATATCAGGCGTCATTAGTAGGGCAAACGCAGAGCCCAACTAGAGCTTGACCATACAACGCCTTGTACTTATTGCCTGCAGTGCATAAATTATTGCCAGTGGCATTAAACGATCGCGTATCTCCAGTGAATTTTGACAAATGATCTAATTTTAAGTCTTCAAAAATGGATCACAAGAGTGCCAATGACCCATCGTTGTAGTTTACCTCAGTGTTATGGCCTGAACATAGGAACAAGAATGCTGACTTTTCATATTCCCTACTAAATTTATTGAGCAAAAGGTACATTTCACTCTACCGCCGAATAGACCATATGTTGTAATATATTTGCAGTACTACACGCACTTCAATATGCACTATGCCCTTCAGCAGAAACGATAAACTTTGTAATTTTTGGAAATCATATATTCGCGAGTCTGAATCCATACCAATGGGCAGGTGATTATTTGTATGAATTACCTCATCTCATCCCTCACGCTAATTGTAAATGTAACGCTGTTTACCAGTAGAAAACGATGCTATCGCCAAGTTTGCTAATTTCAAAGATTCCATATTACTTTACAACTTCGTCGTGGTGGCTGCGTGAGGCCAATAAGTCGATGTGTAGCCATTCACATGACAGTCAGAATCTTTGCACTTTGCACATATCTCTCTCACTCCTTTTTTTGCCTTCCTTTATCAGATTGCATGTGGACCAATGGTCTTCTATAAACCTGTGTAATTGCTACAGTAAAATAGTTAGAATAAAACTGAAGAAAAAGATACCTGTGAAGATGTAGAAATTGATACCTGTGATTAATTTCATACTGTGGTGACAGAGAGTTAGGTCAATTTATTGCGCGACGGATTAAATCAAGCGATACATTACTCCTTGCCAATTACATAAACTTTGAATTCTGATAAAATGACTGTGCGCTGACTTAACAACCTCGCGCACAACCATGATGGAATCATAAAATAAAAGGAATTTTCCAAATTCACTATCTTTCGAAGAGCATTGCCTTCTACCGATAGAAAGCTTTCAACTCGTAGTCAACGTAAGGAGCAAAGTTAAGTAACTAATAGAGATGAAAATCTGCCAAAGGTATAGAATCAAATCTGCGGCCAGAGGACTATGCGCTAACTTGGTGATTCCGCACAGTCATCACAATGGAAAGGTACGCAGGAATTAACAAGTTTGACAATGGCATCGTACTTCACTAATAGAGATTCTAACTGATATATAATATGATGGGATAAATCAAACAGCTGATGAAAATAACCACCTGCAGTCATAGTCAATTCAAAACAGTGACAACATCGCCGAATGCTGAAAAACTGCAGGTCTGTGCCAAAACGTCCCATGCAACAATTCTGAACCGTACTCTAGTCATGTAAATTCAGATGTAGTTATACCTGACTGACGTCTTCTTGACATGAATCAACTAACATAAGGAGGTCACCACGCATGTGAATATGATAAAAATGTTAATTACTCAAGCAGCAGCTGCTTTCGGTTAAGTACAGATTCATATAATTGCTAAACCTCCAGCACTCAGAAAGCTGTTACAGCATAATAATTATAAAGTTAATTTAATAACGTTAAAGTGCAACGAAAGCAATAGCTTAAACCAACGTGGTTCAAATATGTAAACGTACAGACAAAGAATGTTGCAAACAACATAATGATGGCGGAACTGAAATAATCGCATGAATACCGATTCGATTTGACGAACAGGAGGTGAGGTGATATAAAAGGAGTTAAAATGTACACGCTGTAAGACATGTTTCGACTGCGGCGTCAAGGGTACATAGCCTATTAAGAAACGAGTAATGGCATACGGAACAGAGGAATGACCAGAAGCTTTATTCTTTCACGCACCGAACAACAGAACACGCTATTTTCATTCGTGCTTAGGCGAGGACGAGGTAGAAGACTTTGCAGCTCTGCGGCGCACTTTGTCGTCTGTCGCTTTCACGGGTTCCTCTGAAAATAAAACGCCGTTTCGTCTATTAGTTCCACATTCGATGTCGATCAGCTCACGTTCACTGTTAGAGGTGGATTCGGAATCGCTCTTGTCGCTTGCTTTCTCGTGTTTATCAAGTTTATGCTCCGCTTCCTTCTGAGATTTCTTCTTCTTGTCCTTCTTACCCACCTCTTTTTTAGTGGACGACACGGCCGGTTTCGTTGGGAAGATATGGTCGATCACATATACAATTATCTAAATAACAAACACTGAATATCACAATACAGTGAAACAAAAAATCAAAGAAATTTTCATTCACAATAAAAGCTTCAGCTGTAGTAAAACTATAAA